CTTTCTTTCTTTCATATTTCTCTGATCTGATCTGAACGGTTGCAGCTGTAATACCTGTAATTTCCCTCGGGGATTAATAAAGTATTCTGATTCTGATTAAATAACAACTAGGTCAGGGCTGTTCAACTAAATCACTCCAGGGGCCACAATTACTGCAGGCCAACAGCCGAACACTCAGCAATTCAAGTCATTATGTAAATAAACCAAGTATTACAAAGATCTGTCACCTTTGAAATAGTTTATTTTGCTGCATTTAACCATGAACACAACATACAGAACCCTATAATAAAAGTAGTGACAATTAAACAATATTAAAAACACAAATAACGCATTTTGCCTCCTATTTAACACAAATATTATTTTAACATCTCTGACTTGCCAGATATTTAAAGCAATTTTATTTTCACTTTCATAGTTTCATTTTCAACTGCTTGTAGTTTTAACTGTCTTGGACGTTCTTAGAAATGATTTTTCCAGCTTGTAGCCAAGATTCTGATGTTTCTGTAGATACCAAACCTGTCTATGTTTAACTAAAGAACTTACAGTAATAAAAGTAGAAAACCGGGGGCTTGGACTTAAGAGATAAATGAACCAATTAGCGGCCGAACTTTGGTCACTCGCGGGCCAGATGTGGTCCGCGGGCCTCCAGTTGAATAGCCCTGAACTAGATGAGTTCAACAGGTGTTAGTCTCATGACTGGATCAGGGATGTTTGACGTGACTCCTGACTGGAAAAATTAAAAACAAGAATTATTCCAAATTAAACATAAATGAGTAGAAAAGTTGATTATTTTCCATGTTTCACCTCATGCGGGAGGATTGTTCTAGCTCATAGTGTTCTAGCAGAGTAACATTTCATTTTATTATTTCAGTGAAACTTGTGTTTTATTGATGTAGTTTTATTATTTAAATCTCGTGAACATTTGATTCTGTGTTAGAGCTGTTAGGAGACGATGAGAAGGCAAATATTAATAACGAGCGTGACGATGTTGAGAGCTCTGCAATTAGACGGAAGTCACATTTGCATATGAAGATTGTTATCAGGCTGGGTGGGTTGGGAAGATATGATCGTGTCAGCAAAAAAAAAAGACTGAATTCTCCCTCTTATAGAAATTGCAACAAATAACCTGTGGATAGTCGAGCTAATCGAAGCATCTGCTCTGTTTAAAAACAACTGACTGCCAACAAAGTGTGGCACAGTTCAAAACAACGAAACATACTTTCCTGTGGTTTCTGCAGATGTTCCACTGAGATAATATTGTGCATAAGTCATAAGTATAGATGGTGTTAGCATCTTCATGGTTCTGCCTAAAAACCACAAGTGTTTTCTGCAAACACAACCAACTGCAAGAATACAACTTAAAGGTAAAGCTTCATGGGAACCTCATTAAAAATCTAATTCTTACATGTTTTTTTAAAGATACGGTGGATCTTTTACCTCTGCTCATCCTCTAACCCTCTAACAGTCTTTTTTTGTTTTTACTGTGTTTCTATTCTAGGTTCGTGGAGAATATTCCCGCCACTTAAATCAAATGGGTCCAGTATTGCCAACACAACAAGGTACAAAACAACTCTGTGAGAGACTAACCTGAGCCGTACATCCCCACGTAGAAACATTTGTCTGGCCCAGTTCTGGCCCACTCAGCCTAGACTCCACAAAGAAAGAATGATGGTCCTTTGGTGGCACAGAGGTGGTCAATGCGTGGACCAGCACCACATGAGCCAAACCACAACTGGGCCAGTTGTGGCATACCATCTTAACCTCTTGTACCCCATGCCCCCAGTACCGGGGGCAAGACATCATTTCCTGTTTTTTATTCATTTTAAATTCTGTTAACTTTAGATCTATAAGTTGAACCTGGATAAGTTTGTTATTGATAGAAACCTAAGAAGCTATTTTTACATCCGTCAAACACAGTTTAAATGACAGGTAGTTTAATCAGAAAGTAAACAAACTGTACAAAATGGGATTGTTTCAAATCTGTAAAGGTGTAAAGGAAAATTATTTGACTATTTTTTAAAGCAAGTCAAAGCAGATACCTAAATATGTTATAAAGTGTGTTGAAAGTTTTATTTTTACTTGATTTTGAGTGAATGTGATGTAACTGAAGTCAAATATAATTTCTCGTTATTTAATATAATATATATGGTGACAATAAACCTTTGGATAATTTTTCAAAAGAACAAACATTCAATAACAAGTCTTTTAAGGCAGGTAAGATAAAATAAATAACCTTTGGAAGTAAAATCTTCAGATTTGTTAACATTTATTAATAAAACCATCATGGTCTGTCCTGTGCAGAATGACAAAACACTAAATTATTTCTTTACTAAAACCTCTGTAACTTTGCTCCAGTTCATTTTAGCAGCATGAATCTTTGCACAGGTGATGTCCACAAGTGGGTTTATGGTTTCCAAGAGTTTTTAGTCTGATTCATTATGGTTTTAAATAGGTTATACACTGTCTAATGAAAAAATTATTCAGATGAGAGGGAAAAAATATGTGCCATCCTCAATATCTCTAAAACCACAGCAGCTGTTTTAATACTTACACTTCTGATGAAATCAAAGTGTTGCTTTATTTTGTTACCATAATTATTTAAGTAGAGTTTGTAAATGCTGAGATACACTCAGTTACATTTCAGCATGGGATTTAGAGAAAAAACTTCAAGAAAACCACTTGGGGCTGAAGAGGATAAAAACAGTGGCATCATTGCCAGACGTGGCCCACATCCGGTTGACAAACCACTTGCCATGCCAGCAGGGCCAGTTTGACCCCAGATCTGGACAGATGATGGGTTGTGATTAGCGTTAAATAATTACACTTAAATACAAACTACAGAGTCAAGCTTTACGTTGTCACAACTGATTCCAATCTTTTAGATTCTAGCCAGGATAGAATCATCTTTACGCACTGTTTCCTTTGTGAGTCCTGTGGCCCACTACTGCCTGCACCCTGGACAGGTCCATCACAGGGACAGAGACAAACGAGACAAGCATTCACACTCTCACTCACACCTAGAGTCAATTTCGGGTCACCATTTAGCTGACATTATTAGCAGTGTGCACTGATGGGTTCTGCTCCTGTTCCCCAGGCTTCAGCCCTGCTGCAGCAGCAAACAGAGTGCCTCCTCCGTCTCCTCACTTTTCCCCGGCTGGCTTCTCCATACCTGTGCCGCCCCCACCTAAGCCCCTACCGGTCCCGCCACCTTACCCCTTACTGCCCCCCGTACCTTCGGCGGCCCCCGCAGGTGCGGCTTCTCGGTACCCTCTACGCCCCGGCTCTGCCGCTGTTCCTGCTCCGACTGTGGCCCCTGCACCAGACGCTTTGCATCAGGTAGGAATGACTTTCATTGATCGCATTATCAGTGTGAGTTACAGTGTAAACATTACAGGCAGTGAAACAAACAATGTAACAGCATTTTTATAGACCATACATGTGAGCCGTCACATCGAAACGAGGATTAGCTCCCAAGTGGAAAGTGGAGAAATAGGCAGATATTGGGTTTTGATTTAAATGTGTGCAAAAATTGCATTTTGTCAAGATTTAATGAATTAATGCCTTTTCAATGTATCACATGAATGAACTGTCTGAAATATAATCCTAAAGATTTTGAAGCATTTTTTTGAGCAGTAGCAACAAAAATCCTGGTTTTGAGGAAAAACGTCTTAAAATTTTGAGTTTTTCCCTGTGAGCTAGCAAAGTTTTTATTTCTTTACAACTGGGAAATCTTAATACACAAATAATATTTGAGGTTTCCTCTTTATATTGACATCAAAATTACTCAATAAATTCACACAAAATTAGGATTCAGACCAAACAGTAACGTATTATCATAACCAACAAGACAAATGAAGTCAAATCTCTGGATAAACTCATGATAGAAAGATCCAGGTGTCAAATTGTAGCCTTTAAAGCAGGAATCTGAAAATGTAAAAAGGTAATTTTGACCAAATTTGACTTTACAAGGGCAAAAAATTCCAGGGACCCCCTCATAAACCCCATGCTGTTTTAAAAAATAATTTACTGTCACTTCAACCCCTAAATGCCATGGAAATGTATATTTTATTTAGTTTATTATGTTTGTTTTATTAGTTCATTGTTCCTTATGCATTTTTCAAAATAAAAACCAAATTAACAGTTTAGTGAAATTTTTTTAGGACCCCCCAAGATACCTCCCGCTGAACCTTGGGGCTCCTGGGACCCTAGTTTGAGAACCTCTGTTATAGAGGATTGTGTGGAAACCATACTAAAAGTGAACATAGAGCCAAAACACACACACCCACACTCAACCATAAACAGTCAATGCAAAGTACCTCATGAATGTTAAGGTGTATTTAAATCAGTCAGCTTATCAATGATTTTCTCAGACACGCTCCGTCATGTGTCTGCAGGATGACAGGTGCTAACAGCTGCTGCTCACATGAACAGAATATCTGTAATTTACACAGATTTTCCCTCATTTTGCAGGTTTACAGACATTTAGAGCAATCTAAGGATTTTTTTCGAAAACTCGGCTTCAAATGTTTTTTCCTCAGAGCCTGCAGGATGATAAAAACAATAAATAGAATTAAATAACCCAAACATTGCCCCGTTTTTCAGCTAGAAATAAGTCCGTGTGTCGCGCCCCATGTTTGCTCATCACAGAGCACACACACCTGGCCCTGTGCTGAAATGGGCGGGACAGAAGCTGAAGGAGGTTCTTAAAGGTGTGGTGTTTAGAAACAGATATGATGAGAAGTCAAATTTATTTTCTATTTAAACATAAAAACATTTTAATAACAACTGAAGGTGACAGTTATTTTATTATGGTGTAGAACAGGGGTAGGCAGTCCTGGTCCTGGAGGGCCGCAGCCCTACATGTTTTATGTTTTTCCTGCTCCAACACACCTGATTCAGACACTGAACTACCTCTTCTGCATTATGGAGGACCGAAACCGACATAATTAGAAATAAAATCAGAAATATATAAATGGACCAATAAATAAATTAAAAAATGTGCCAATTAAATAAAAGGAGAGCTTTACCTCACATTTTATAATTTAATTGACCTTCATATTTATTTTTCCAGCTTGTTCCATCAAATTCTATAATATTGAACATAATTTACATTTTACTGTTTGTTTATATATATATATATATAAAGTTCTCCTTTTTGAATTATATTAGTGCACTTTAAGTGTATTTATTTATTAAATACACTTAAAGTGCACTACTATAATTTATTATATTAGTGCAGTAATTAATTATAATTATTTACTAGTGACTTTATATATTTCTGCTTTTATTTCTAATTATGTCAGTGTCGGTCCTCCATACTTCAGAAGCCTTTCAATCAAATCAGGTGTGTTTGAGCAGAGAAAACAGTAAAACATGCAGGGCTGCGGCCCTCAAGGACAAGGATTGCCCACCCCTGGTATAGAATTTAAATATATGCCTGAGAAACACATAATATTGACCCGTTAAGATTTAGAAAAACGGTAAATTCATGCTAAATTGCAAAGGAACAACTAAACGGTGTTGTTTGGCTCCTCCCGTGCAGCCTCTTCCTCCAGGACCGTTTCCTCCCTCCACCTCCGCCCCGAGCAAAGCTCCGCCCCCCACCGGCCCGACCAACCCGCTGCAGAAAAGACGCTTCACAGAGGAGGTGCCAGACGAGAGGGACAGCGGCCTGTTTGGTTATCAGGTAACGATACTTTTACATCTGAATGTTTTTTTAGCCTGACTTCACTGTCCGATCCATCAGCCGAACACGTACTGCTTTAATTTCCAGCTTTTCTGCACGCTGTTTCCTGGTTAGACTCATAGTTTACTCATGAGTTTCTTCTCTTAATGCAGATATTTATTGGCCAGTTTGAAAGTTTCTCCCAGCAGAGATGAGGAGTGTGATTTTCTAGGCGTAGTGTTGAATGTGAAGGTGTCAGGACAGGGCTTTAGAGGAGGACGTCTGCTAATCGTGGCTGTGTGTTTTTCTGCTCATAGCATGGACCCATTCATATGACTAATTTAGGTGCAGGCTTCTCAGTGGGCAGGACCGAGTCGACCAGACCCCCACCGTCCAGTTCCCCTGGCCAGGCGACTGAAAGGAACTGGTGTGTAGTTTAATTGTTTTTGTTTGTTTAAATAATCATTGCGTATTAAAATAGTTGACTCAAAGTCACTTTGTGTTTTCCAGTCGGCAGCTAATGCCTCCGCCGCTGTCTGTTCCCGTTAACGGTGTGAGACCCAGGATGGAAGAGAGGAGGGCAACAACACAAGACCCTGTGGGTAAGGGTGTCCTGTGGGCTGACAAATCCCACCCCCCACCCCACGACTCTGAGCCACAACCTTTAATAGGATTGATTCTCCCTGTAATGTAGAGGTTAGAACACTAGAGGGAGTTACTTAAAGGGATCCATGATTAGTTGTAACATTAGACTTTATTTAATAAACATATATTTTAACTGTAAAATAAAGACTGTAAAAATACTGTAGGCTGTTTAGTTTTTATAATTTTTAAACTAAAACTTTAAAAATATATTACATGGACGGGGCCATTTTATTTACT